TTTGCTGGTGGGGTAAATCTCCATTCAGTACATTTCTCAACAATATTCTTGTTTCTGAGTGTGAATGAACCCCGTGTGGTTTTGAATTTCGTCGTGTGTTTCCTGTTCCCCCGTTATGGTTTCCTCAGGTGGCACACTGATGCCCCCTGGCAGCCAGAGCCCCGGGGCTCCTGATCCTGAAAAATACCTCTAGAAATGGATGAACTTCCCTGGAACTGGAGCACCTCTCCTATGAAAGAGGATGAAGAATTGGGATTGTTCAGCTGGAGAAGAGGAGCTTTGGGGTGACCTCATTGTGGCCTTCAAGAACCTGGTGGGAGCCCACAAGGAAGATGGAGAGAGACTATTTCCAAGGGCCTGGAGTGACAGGACATGGGGAATGGCTTCAAACTGACAGAGAGCAGGGTTAGGTTGGATATCAGGGAGAAATTGTTCCCTGTGAGGGTGGGCAGGCCCTGGCACAGGTTGCCCAGAGAAGCTGTGGCTGCCCCATCCCTGGCAGTGTCCCAGGCCAGGTTGGATGGGGCTCTGAGCAATCTGGGCTGGTGGAAGGTGTCCCTGCCCATGGCAGGGGGTTGGAACTGGATGAGTCTTTAAGGTCCCTCTCAACACAACCCACTCTGTGATTCCAGGAACTGGAAGTTGTATCATTTGTGATCACTTATGGTGCCACAGCACTGTTTGTATTAATGCACTTAGTGAGGTAACAGGAAAAACAAGATTTCTTAACATGCTTTAAAAATCTCTCTTCAGTTTAATTTAGAAAAAGACTTGTGCTTTCTGCTTTCCCATTCAAGGTGCTCCATGCTGCTAAGCAGCATTTCCATGGAATAATTTGGGTTGGGAAGGACCTCTAAAGGCCATTTAGTCCAATCTCCCTTTGGGTGCAGCCCAGGGCACGGGGGGGTTCTGGGTGCCAGCACTGGCACTGATGCTGCCCTTTGCCCTGAACATGGTTAATACAGAATCTCTGTAATTAAGGAAAAACCCACAAATATTAAGAGGGATTGAGAGTCAAAACACTACCAAAAATGTATAAAATTTTATTTTAGGAATACATTACACTATTGTGCGCAGCACATACATATAAAAATAGAAGCAATTTCACAAACAGTTGATTGGACAGTTTCATGTTTCTTGCAAATTTACAGTCTCCTTTGTGAGTCCATATGGAGTCAGAATATGAGGTATATTTTAGTGAAAAGAAAGTAATCTGAGAACTTTGGCACCATTTGACTGTGCAAAATAAAATCTTGGAATTGAAATAGTTAGTGAGGTATTCAAATATTACTCTGCGTTTCCACCGTGTGCGTGTCTGTGTGTCTGCAGGTTTGGGAAAAATACATTTATTTAAGAACATGACTCAGTTCTAACGGGGGTAGATTAGGTCTGAAATTGTTATGGGATCTGCCTAAGGAAGAAGAAACCTTGAAAACAGGCACCATCTCCACAGGAGAACCCCACAGCCAATGCTTTCAGAGCTTGCAGCCCCTGTCATGACCTCCCATTACTGCACACTGAGATGAGAAGTGCTTTGCAGTTCCCAGTTTGGCCCAGGTTTGGGAAATCCCTTCGTTTTGATGCGTTTTCTTTATGTAGTCACCCATCCATGAAACTTTTCTTTGGAAGAAGGTTCTGTGTAAGGGTTTGCCAGATGATGTTCACATTCACTCCACAGTGTACATTTTCAGGCTTTCAGATGGTTTGGGTTGTGCCAGCTCAACAGATTTATCCTGAGGTGTGCAAAAAGGAAGGGTGGGCTTTCCAAAGCCTCCTTCTCCGTGACAATGGCCTGAGAAGGTGGAATTTAGCTGACCAAGCATGAGGCAGAACAGCATCAGGCCAATTCTCAGGCATAACTTCTTGAACCCTGCTACCATGAGCAGCCCCTGGACTGCTGGCAGTGTGTCCAAACACTCCTCAGCTCCTCTCTGGAAAGCAGACTTGCCTTCACTTAAGAAGCACCTCTGTCAAAGCATTTATCCAACTGGTCTAAAACTCCACAGGGCTTCAGTTCTGCACTGTTTGTGCTGGAGGGGTTTCTTCCCACAGCTATCCCTCCTGACATATCATACTAGTCAGTATTCCTGGCACTGGGAGACCCTTTTTGATTTCAGCCTTGACTTCAGTGTTGATCTGGCTGTCACTGATGTGTAATAAGGTAAAAATGCAGTATTGTAGAGAGGAACTCAGCAGAGTGACTGGTGGGGCTTTCCAAATGCCCACCAAAACTGCATCTGCAAGGGCCTGCAGTTCCTAAGAACAATCTCAGTCCAGCAGGCTGTGTCTGCACAGATTTATAGCATCACAGAATCATTTATCTTGCAAAAGACCTCCCAGATCATCGAGCCTGTCCTTTGACCGATCCCTGCCTTATTAACTAGACCAGACCACTGAGTACCACGTCCACCAGTTTCTCGAGCAGCTCCAGGGATGGGGACTCCCCCACCTCCCTGGGCAGCCCCTTCCAATGCCTGACCTCCCCTTCAGTGCAGAAATTCTTCCTCATGCCCAGCCTGAAGTTCCCCTGGTGCAGCTTGAGGCCATTTCCCCGTCCTGACCTCTCGTGACCTGGTCTATGGTTTGTTCTCACCTTGACCAGTGTGTGCAAAACAGAGCCAGTGAGTCTGATTGTCACCTTTTGTGTCAGCTATCCCACTGCTTGTCAGCACTGGCAACACTAAATTCCCCTAGGCTGCACTGGTTTAGGAGGGAACAGACTTCATCCTATCCTAAGAAGACTGATTCACGCTGTAATCAGAAACAAACTTGTGTGTCAGAATTCGAACCACATTTCCACATCCATGTACTCTTCCATCCTTCTTCAGACTTCATTCCAAAGACAATTAGGAATACAACACCAGGATACACACCAGGTTGCCAGCTTATGCATTTCAGCACAGCTGCAGTCTTCCTCTCTCTGCCCCTAGGGACTCTGTGTGACTGTCTGACAGCCTCCAAACTTTCCTCTGACCCACTCTCCCCTCTCAGAACATCCTGATCTTTCACTGGAAATGCACATTTTTTCAAAGCAAACTGCTGTGCACGTTGTGGATGAACAAAGTGTGTCATCTTGTCTTCTCCCTACCTACTGCAAGACCAGAAAATGGAGAGTAACTCCTTTCCTTCCAAAGCATCCTCCAAAGCATCCCATTCATGTCCTGTAAGCAGCATTCCCCTCTTTTTTTCTCTTCATTTAAGCTGTGATCAGTTTAAAATCAGCACTTACATTTCAACCAGGTAAATTCAAGTATAAATCACACAAAAGATGCTGGAAAACTGCTCCTTGTTCACAAAGCCATAGGAATGGTGGCTGCAGGTACATCCTTGTGGGTGTGTTCTTCAGGCCAAACCTCCTGCACCTATAAACTGATAATCTCAGCAGGCTGATTTACTCCAAGTGAGGATCTGGCCCTGCCAGCGTTTTCCCTGCGTGTCAGAAGGCTCAAATTCATCCCGAATAGACACCCCCTGCAAATAGAACGGCATGTCGAGGCTGGGCACAGCCCCGTTTGGGCTGCCCGTGGGAGATAATCTTGCACTCAGATATTCCCCCCTGCAGCAGCATGGCCCATCTATGCTGAAAATGCTCCTGCTCTGACACTGCACTGAATCTGGTTTCAAATTTAGGAGCAGGCCACCGATGCAGGAATCCCAAGGCTTCTGGCAACCGACATTTATAGTGACTATTGACTTAGGGCACCTCAAAATACTCTTTCAAAGGCACAGGGAATGCAGCTCCATTGGTGATCTGGAAAAAGGTTATGCCCCGTTTGTAGGGCTTCTGGGGGAGCTCTGGGGAGTGTTTCACACAGCCTGCCGTGTTCTTCTTGAAACTGATGCTTTGCAAGTGACAGAAACTGGAATTATGGTGCAAATTCCTCTGTCCTAACTTGGGAAGGTTTGCTTGTATAGCCCCCTTCTTTCTCTGTCCTCCACACCTCGTGAGGTGTGATAGAGAAGAACCAAATATATCTAAGGCAGTGAATAGAAAACTCAAAACAGAGAAGTTTTCTAAAATAGCCCTTTGCTGGAAGCTTCCATGGATTTCTTACATTTTATAAAATGCATCCCGCAGGCCAGTTCTGGTTCTTGGAGGTTACCAAGGTTCAGCCTAAATGAAATACAGTGCCTTTAAATATTTATGTTCTTTTCTGTGTGTATGCATACAAAGGCACCTGGGCTTTGAGAGACTGGGATGATTGATTCATTAAAAGTGTGTAATTACATAGATACACACACATCCCATGTCTATATATATACAAGTATTTATATTAAAGATGTGCACATCTATATTTGAGGTAAGTCTAAACTAAGCTCACAAAATGCCATTCAAAATCCTCAGCTCCAAATAAGTTTTGCATTTGGGACCCATCTGTGACTTATCCCGTGGCCCTTCCTGTGGGAAACTGATTGTGGGTCTTCATTTTTACCAACCAGTCCATGTGAGGAGACTGGAGAATCCCTTCAGAGACAGAGGGGCTCTGGGCAGAAACGCTTTGCTTGTGTGGAAGCAGCTGTGGAACTGGCACCTTAGTGATCAAAGCAGGCTGAGGACTTTCCAAGACAGGACAGAGTCTGCAGAAGGGGAGGTGCAGGCAGATATTCAGGTGGAGTGAACTGCCTGAAGCTCTGCTGAAGCAAAATCGTCTGGTGATTTGGCCCACGATATGTAAACAGCTCACTAGGAAAGGGTACTATCTGAGGTAAATAGTATTCTTTAGTAAATAACCTGTGATTGATTAGATGGATGCCCACAGCCATTCCAAATACTTCTTCTGTGTACTTTTGTATACTTTTCTTCCAAATCCTTTGCACTCCAGCTTGCTTTTTTCCTCTGTACAGCACCAAAGGAGGCAAACAGCCATGTAAAATTTGTACAGAGTAGAAGAGAAGCAGCATCATATTACATATGCTATGTGATGAATCTAGTACAAATATTTTTATCCAAATATACACATACATATATAGATAATTTTTTTTTTTCCCAATGACCAGTATAAATACTACTTTACCTGGGAGGTTATTCCCCATGTGCAAAATGAAACAGTTTTTTTTCCTGGGATTTAATCTTCCCGTGTTCATATTCTGGGTAAGAAGTGGGTCACTGTCATGGCAGGAGAAACCTTGTTTCCTCTCTTCACTCTGCCGTGCTTGCTGAGGGCTATGTAAGCACCACGGTAAGCCTTCGACTCATAGGCATTGTAGTTATTGGGCAGCAAGGTTTCCTTGAATTTACACTCATCTTGGAAGACAGCCTGAAGAACAGTGAGGGGAGGGGGGTGGGAGAACAAAGCAAGTACAATAAATGCTTCACAAAAGCCCAGGTCATTTTTCTCGCTCGCGTTTTTACAGGAGGGGCTCGTTGCAAGTGAGCAACAGGTGGTGCCTCGGCGGCTGCATCCAACAATAAATCTGCCTCCTCGGTGCTAATTCGGTGTCAGATGAACTCAGATGCCACCTGTCCACATAATGGACTGTGCACTTCCTGCAGCAGATCGAGTTAATTCATTCTAAATGATGGATTTCTTCATTTTATTTGCGAGGAAAGATTTCTGCCAGCGTCACGCCTTTTCACAGCTTTATTTAATACCTCCCCTCTGCCAGAAGCCCTGCCATTTACAAAAAAACTACATGCTGGAGGTCAAAAAACCTTCAGTTCTCTTTGCAATGTCCAGGGAGAACTGCTTGCTCAGATAAGACATTTGATTAGCAATAAATCATTAGTGATATTTAACTATGCAGAGGGTTCTAAGCTGGGCAAACAGTTCTGTTTTTCTCCATGTTACATCATGTAAATTTGGGGAGAGGGAGTTATCTGGGAGAGGGCAAGGGCAAGAAGGAGAGAAATGCAGAGGAAATTAAAAGAGACAGAATAAATCTCTGCCTTCAAATGTCTGGCACGTGGGATTTGGACACCTGCATGATAAAACCATTCAAAGCTTGTTGTGTGTGGGAAAACACCTCTTACAGCTTTTAAAAGTGTCTTTGAAGATAAACAAAACTGGATTGAAACTGGGGGGCTGAGAGGGAAAAGTCAAAGGGAGTTCTGAAGCCAGACCCTGCATTTCTTCAGGAAGACTCAGTCAAGCAGAAGTTGGGTTTGTGGCACTTTTTAGGTGCAGTTGGTCAGACAGGACTGAAAGAATCTTCCTGGGGTGAAACCTCACAATGTCCCCTATCGATGTGAGAAGGAATCAGTCAGGTTAGTAATGTCGATGGGGCTATGGGTCCTTCACAACAACTGGCATTTTATTAAGCAACTGAAATACTTTGTGGAAATTACAGCTGTTCCAAAGGAAAGGACTCTGCTGTTCCCTGGCAAAAGAGATCAGTGCTGTTCATCACTTTGAGGTGGGCTGCTTTTGCCTACTGCCCAGAGCCAGCCTCTTCCAAACACACTTCCTAACAAGCACTTTTACTGCTGAATGCCCTGGAGATGTCTTGCTCAGACCTCAGAAATTAAATTGCATTTTGATGGCAAATCATCCTGATGAGCTCGACGGTGACAGTGTTTCAGCCTGATTTTCATTCCATTCTTAATAGCCATTATTTTCTCAACCTTTGCAACTGATCTCGTGAAGCTGATCATTAAAATAACCCCAGCCACATACGTTGACCTTGTAGGGTAGAGCTCCTATTTATTCTCCATGCTGGGGTTGTTTTTGGTAGGGGGAAGCATGTGGTCATTATTTTACTAATAGCTCTAATGGTACCTCTCCTACACACAGTGCAATGCAAAAGGAAATCAGCAGGGCTCAGTTCTACCAGAACGTGTTTGCAGCACTGAGACCTTAGAAGAAGCCACTTAATTAATCTGTCCTATTTGCAGAATGCATTCATTTTCCCAGGGTGGTCCCTGTACAGTCTTATTGGGAAGCTTTAAAATCCCAGACTTTTAACAGCACTAAATAGCACTGATGACACCAGGCTGGGCACACTCCCTGTAGCTGAGAGGCTGTTTTCTCTGCTTGTAATCACAGATTTCCATGAGGAAAAAACCCAAAGCAAACCAAACAGAACACTAAACCAAACATAACCACTCTAAAACCTTTGCAGCCTTTGTTCAAACCTTGAAAAAGAGTATTTGCACTGGTACTCACCGTTCCATACAACCTCCCCTTGCTGTTCATCCCGATGAAGAGAGCACTTTTCACCCCAAGCAGGCTGACAACCCCTCTTTCTACAGTGGATATCTCAAAGAGACCTGAAGAATAAGACATTCAGCAGAAGTGTTACCACAGAATCTAGAGCTAATCCAAGGCAATTCAGATATCATTTATTTTAAAACCCTAAGGAACTTGCTATATTTTCTCTATTAGAGTTATCTCCCTAGTCTAGATGCACACAGAGAAGATCTTGCATTTTCCCACATGCCATAGGATTTGAAAACAGTTACTCTGGAACCATAGCCACACACTGTGCAATCCCTTTGCTCTGTCTGACTCTTGATCTGTCAAGCTCAAAGTAAATTATTTTATCTAATACACTATACTTCCAGAGGGTTTGTTATCAGCTTTAGAGGAGTGTGGCTTCCTATTTTGAAGTCCCACATGACATCTTAGCCACAAAAGATTTTAGCAACTGCCCTCTGCAGGAAATTCAGATCCATATGACTATTTCTTTATTCTTACAGCCACAGAACAGCACCCACAAGAAGGAGCAAACCAGGAACAGCAATCCCCTTCCGTGGGACACACCGAGCATCCCAAAAGTAACAGCTGGGGTTCAAAAACCACGCTCTGGCGCTCGGAGCAGAGCGACGACCTCCCGGATTCGGAAGGCAACTGAGAAGGTGAGGAGTGAGAAAGTGCAGCAGAAGAATCAGTTTTCAACCTGTTTCTTTTTTTTTTTTTTTCCTCATCCGTGCAGTAAGGCAGAGTAAAAATAAACCCCACCCAAATTTGTCTAAGCATTTGTGCCACATTTCAGCCCGAAGGGTCCTGATGCTTACTGATCCCAGAGACTTTCAAAAGGCAACAGATTAATAGTACCGAGTAATAACATTTGCACTCTGTGAAGGGTAATCACTAGAGTTCACAGCAATTAAGTGACATCTATTTCATTTGTGGATGCAACTCACTGTATTGGTTTTCATTGTGAACTCCGCTTATCCTTCCGTCTGGGAGGATTTGAAGGTGAAACCCGATGCCCACGTTGCAGTAAAGCCTCCGCTGCCTCTTGATTCCTAGCAAATAGTCACTCTCCCAGTTCACATCTGACTTCTCCCCTGACATCCCAGCAATGGACCTGGACAACAGAGACTGCCATCCTCTCTCCAGCCATGTGCCATTAGTTCTGCTTACAACGGGGTGGGCAGAAGCAATCCCGGCCAGGAAGCCCAGGAGGACGAAGGCAGGGACCGTCTGGTGAGCGCCGGCTTCGCAGGGCATAGTGATGAGGGCTCTCGGTGCAGTGGCCATCCGGTTCACCTCCTGGGCACGTGGTCAGCGTTAATGGCCCTAAAAATACCGCCCTTCTTGTTTTTCTCCCTTCAGCATGGCGGCAGAGGCTTATTTTTGGAAAGCAAACAGAGATTGCTGACCTGAAACTAAAGCCCGAGAGCGGTGGGGTTGGGAGCAGAGACAGGCCAGCAGGACTCCAGCTGGTGGGGACCATGTTTTGTGGCTCCTGCTCCCCAGTGGGCAGCCTCGGTTATATTTGATTGAGCCATCTTTATAGTGCAGAGGCTGTCCCTCCCCACATCATCACTCTGACATCAACAGCTTGCCAAAGGTAAGGCTGCCGCGGCTGTAACACTAACCTGCCGTCCTCCCCGGCTGGCCGAGCTCTGATGAATGCTGTCACCCAAGACTGGAGGCAGGAGTGGGATTTCATTGGCTGTGGGAAGCAAAGGAGTCAAATTGGCCGGCTAGCCAGAAGCCTCACGGCTTCCTTATTTAGAGGAGAAGGTGTAAAAACAGTTGTGGACCTCACCAGTGAGCAATGACAAGTTTGCAGCCACTTCCTTGGTGGCACGATCGCCAGGCATCTCAGCACTGGGGGGTGATTGGCTCCGAGTGGCCACTGCTCCTTTTGTACACACCCAGCAAACCCAGGGCATCTCCTCCTAAGCGATCCACGAGGACTTAGGCAATGTGTTAAAGAAGAGGGAAAAGGGGAAATGGCCACAGCTCCCTATTGTTTCACTTTCTCCTTTCCCCAAACCCAAATACTCACTTTTTTTTTTTTTTAATAACATATGGTCATCTTAATTTGTCTCTCCTTCCATCTGTCTCACCTGTTTCCCCTCATTTTGCACTGATGCTGTTCCAGCTTCTTTGGGGCTGCACAGATTAGTCTTTTAAATTAATTTCACGGGACTTATTAAGGCACTAGTTGGAGGCAAACAGCTGAGATTCATGCAAATATTTTTGCCAATATGACTGTCAGCTTTTCGCAGCAAAGAACCTGCTTTCTCTGTGTCATTTGAGATGCCTGCATGTTAAGGAGGAGAGTACCTGGAAGGGTAACTGAACTGAGCACACCCAGCGTGACAGTCTCACATTAGGAGCAGTGTAATTTGAGGCCTGAGCACTGCAAACCCTTCAGCACAAGAACCCTGAGTGAAGAAGGGGAGCCCATGGCAGCCCTGAGGATCATCCAAGTCCAGCTCCTGGCCCTGCACAGAACAGCCCCAACAATCCCACCACGTGCCTGAGAGCATTGTCCAAACGCTCCTTGGAGTCTGCCAGGCTTGGGGCTGTGACCAAAGCAATCAGATCTTCTTTCTGCCTTTTGCTCCACAAGGAAAACCTTCAAATCTTTTGCTCATCCTACTTCATCTCAAGATTTTTTCACCTATGCAAAATGTAGCACCAAATGGCAGCACCAAAAAAAAAAAAAAAAAAAAAAAGGGATTAAAAAAAAAGGGATAAATTCTGGCAAGTCTGTGGGCTGCATTGCTTTGGCTTTTAGTCAGCCCAGCTGCCAAGTGACTGCTGAGGGCCGTGGTGGAGCAGGGGACAGCGTTGCTCTGGTGGTTTTCTGCTGAGCAAGCAGATGTGACAGCACTCTGTACGGAAAGGCTGGCCAGAACACTTGCAAAAATCAGGACTTCTCCTGCCCGACCTGAAAACCAGACCAAACAGCTAAAAACTGTGATTTCACTGGGACACCTGGCCCTCATAAGAGGAGGAGTCTTGGTATCTGGCCCGAGACCAGGTGGTGTGCAGCTGGGAGATAAAGTGAACACCGCAGTCCTGTGCTGCTCAGCAATTCTGCACTGGAGCTGAAATGAGTCTGGAGCCACTCCTGGAGTCAGATCTGTGGCCAGCAGTGTGCTGAGTTTCTGTGTATTAGCATACGAAGATGAATTGCAATGCAAATCCTGGAGCTTCTCATTCAGCTAGGCAAGCCTTGTTTCCTCCAGAAGATGTCTCATTCTCCAGCTTGTGCCTCTTGGCCCGTGACGTAGCTGTTTCCAGAAAATACCCTGTTATCTTTTGATTTTCAGACAGCACGTTGTCCTGGATTCATGTGCCTTCATGGAGGGCATCAAGGGAGACACCCATAGCATCTGCAGTGAAAGAAACCCTCCAAAACCTCAAAAATGGTAAAAATTGACTTCGGCCATCAACCTCCGCTTCCTGGAAATCTTAACAGCCAGCATGACAGTGCTTACTGCCTAATTAAAGCAGCAAGTTTTCATTGTCAGTATTTTAGTACAATATTAAAATAATCTCCTTTGGAACACAGCAGCAAGGATCCACTTTCAGAGAGTCTAAGAAAAGTCCTGCAGCTGAGCAGTAACCTGACACGGATGCAGAGCACGTCTTTCAGAAAAATGCGTGATGACTGAGGGTCCCAAGCTCCATTTTCAAACCTCTTTAAAAGTCTCCCCCTATTTTAAGGCCTGGAAAGGGCAATCCCTCATTCACAAGGGCAGATTGAAATTGTTCCCCTTGCCTGTGAAGCCCCAGGCTGGTGGTGGACAGAGGAGAAAGGAGATTTCCAGGTGGCAAACCTGCCTCTTGTGGCAGGGCAAGTGTTGCAGACTCTGGACAACCTGCATGAAACTCTGCAAGCCCAAGAATGTCCACGGGGCCCCATCAGACCATCTTTAGGCTAGTGGGGTTTGTTGGCCAGCATGTAGAGGTTTATAACACAAAGAGTGGGACTATTATGAATGAAATGTGAATCACAGTGTGGAAACAGCAGAAAAAAGTAATCACAGAACATGCTGAGTTGGAAGGGACCCACAAGGATCATCGAGTCCAACCCTTAGCCCTGCACAGAACCATCCCCAAGAGTCACACCATGGGCCTGAGAGCACCAAATACAGCAAAGGTTGCAGGGCTGGGCTGTATTGACACCCAAGGACCCACCAAGAGCCATAAAACTGGTTAAAACTCAGGAATGTGTTGTGGGCATCAAGACTAATTTGGATGGGGCCACAGCATAGGTGACCAATCAGCAGCAGATCTGAGCCCTGGCAGCAGGAGGGTGACAAAAAGGGTTGTAGCACAATGAATTTGTTATTTCTCTTCCCATTATCCAACAGAGAGGTGGATTTTTTGTCCTCTGCTGAGATTTCACACACTACAGGCAGGCACAAATCACAGAACAGCTTCCAGTTATTTTTTTTTTTTTTTTGGAGGGGAAGTGGGAGAAAGGATCTACTCCCCAAGGAAATGGTGGCAGGTTTAGGACTAGGGAGATTCTATCTTCCTTGGGGAAAAAAAAATCTTGGTTTACTGCTTATTCATGCTAAATTAACTTTCTGAAGAGGGACTGTCAAGCACAGATCCAGTCAAATACCCCCATCTTTGCCTCCTGAGGTGGCTGTGGCTGTCTCTCCGTGTCTCCCAGGAGCTGGAATGACTGTCAGAAGACACAGTGGTGACTCCACAGAGAACCTGTGGCTTCCCAGCCGCTGCTGTGCCCCCCGGCCCACGCTGCTTCTCTCATCACCTCCTCAGCTGTTCCCACTCCCCAGGGACAGGCAGCCCAAGGGTAAAAGGCTGAGCTGGAAAAAGCAGAAGTGACAGCCCCCAGCCCCCACAGGGATCTGCTTGGTGATATTTGTTAGGAGAGGGGAATGACATGGTGCATGTTTAATTTGGGTTTAGCGTGGTCACGTGTATGGTTTCCTCGTTCCTGCAGGACCAGGGATGCTAAATGCCACTTTTAAGTAACATAACGAATAGGAAAGCAAAAAACACTGGGTTTTATTGCTGTTGGTGATGAGATTTTGTTCAGTGTCCCAACTGACCAGATCTCGTGGTGATTCCTGGCCATGGAAACTATTCAGATTAAATGATGTAATGCACTATAGATGACTGAAGGCAATTTCTGCCATTTTCCAGGTAAATTCCTTGTGTTGTGTATCATTAGCTCAGCTGAGGACTTTCCTTGCATATCAATTCTTCACCTGTTGGTCTGGATCCCTCCTCATATTTTGAAGGGGAATTCTGAAACCTTTTGTGCAGTCATCTGAGCTTTTCCCTATTTTTTTCAAGCTTTTTTTTTTCCTGCATGGTGGGCAACACTTGAAGGTTCAAAGCTTGCAATTCATTTTTTGACAGCAGTTGTGACTTGTAGTCTAATTTCCGTAGAAAGGACCCTATTTTTGAAATCTCCTCCTGTCCTCTTCTCTCACCCTTTTCCCATTCCCTCTGCTGTGCTGGTGGGAGAGGAGCAGGTGGGAATATGCTGGCAGCCATGGAGCCCAGGAACTGACCCAGCTCATTCCCTGCTAGTTGTGTTTTCCAGAGGGAGCTGAAACACTCCCAGGACTCTGCCACCTTCCCTGACAAGGTCTGTGTTTCACAGGGCCTTGGTTAGGAGGTGCCTTGAAGATCATCTCATGCTGCAGATTGATGAACTGGCCTGACCTAAGGAAAGAAAGGCACATGTAGAAGGTAGGAGGAGCATTAAGGAGAAGAGGGTGTAAAACAAGCAGTTAGTGAACCTCTTTTTGCTGTGAGATGAAGGAGACAAGGCAGCCTCTATCCCAGTGGTGTAACAGGATTAGTAAAGAAATTATGAAAAGAAATGTGGAAAGAGGTAAAATATGGCACTAGAAAAGTGGAAATGAACTCTGTTCATTCTGTGAGACCTGGACTATTGGCAGGAATAATGTATTCCCAGGGCCAAGGCTTTGCATTTGTTAATGGTAGACTGCATGAGAGCCCTGTCAACCCATCCCTCCACCTTGCCAGGGTCCTGCTGGATGCCAGCCCTACTCCCATTGTATCAGCCTTTCCTACAGTTTATTGTTGCCAACTGCCAACTTGTGGAGTCAGGGAAATTAAACTAATCCAGTGCTGGTTGTGGATTCTTCCTCAAGTGCCTGCTCCACTCCTGCAGCACGTTGTTTCCAGCTCCCCACATTATTATTCACTGCGATTTTCTACCATGTGCTCATCACTCATAGCACCCAGAGGAAAAAACAGCATTAAAAAAGCAGATTGGGTTTTTT